TGTTGAAAAGTGAAAATTTATGTTTATACGTTCAAAGGCAAGAATAAATAAAACTGTAATATACATTTTTGTATGCGTATTGCAATGGATGCAAATTGAAGTATAAGTGACTATATAAAATAAATCTGGGAGGGCAATCAAAGAAAATGAAATTCTATATAAATAGAATAAAAAACTGAGATTTTGGTAACTTTTAAATAGGGAATGTTTTTGAATATTTAGTGGTATGTGGAAAAAATCTAAAATATATAAAAGAAACAGGGTGTTTCTTAAAATACAGTTCTTGAAGTAAGAACTGCAAAGCTTTCTAAGCTTTATGTACAAATTAAATGGAAAGTTTTTAAAGTTTTGCAATTCTAAGCTTAAAAACTGCATTTTTAAAAATTCTCGTAGACATAAATATAACCAACGAATTTACAATCAAAAATCTATAAACGTATCAAATATAAATAACCTTGCAAAAAATTCTTTATCCGACCCAAAATAAATAGCTATTAACATATAATTTTACAAGACACTACAAACTACAATTAAATTTGCCTAAGCTGTGAAACAAAACTATTTGAAATCCGAACCTGTTTTTCATCATAATATTGTACATAATATGTATGTATATATGAACATGAACGCTAAATTAAGATATCAATCAAATTTTTTTGATATTATTTTGAATTTAGCATTTCATTAACTATGTATATATTTAATATTATACATTATTTTATTATGCATGAATATATATGCATATATATATATATAAATATGTTTAAAGTGAATAAATAAAAAGTAAATATTCCGATAAACAAAATATAAAAAAAATAATAAAAACAAATAAAAATTTTATTTATGCTGCACCACTGTCATTGTTGTGTTGCCAGAGAAAATCATTTAAAATATGTATACCTATAGATGTATATAAAACATCTATAATGTACCTGTGTCATATAAACCTATATTGTTATAAGAAGCATATGTTTATTTCTGTAATATATATATATATCGTATTTATATATATATATAATACACATGTAATATAAATTTTCTTCATGTGTACGCGAATTTTAAATATAATAATCAGCAATATAAAAGCCGATTTAAATAAAGTCATAATATTGTCCAATTAACTTGGTAAGTATAACAAAAAAAAAAAAAAAACCCTGATGTTAAAAACATAGTAAGAACAACAAATAAATGCAATATACTCGTATACAAAATAATACAATAAGATATAAGCTTGCATTAATTATTATACAATTGGTGCGCATTAAATTTCCTCTAGGAGTATAGCATTGCCAATAATATAAACCAGGAGTATAAGTATTATGTAAGTTGAATATGAGTTATTATTCAGATAAATACGGCCTCATATTTTTATATAAATATATATATAGGAAATAAATGTTAAATGGAGCATGTTAAATGGATGTAAATAGAGCTTAATTTTTACTCATATATATATATATATTATAAATAAGAATTGTTATACAAAATTAATTTATAAATTATTTTCTCCCAACAACTCCGAACTGAAATAATTTATAATAATGTTCGAATATATTTGATAAATGAGTTGAGGGCTTAAATGGGGAAAATCCCTATCGCACATTTTAAAAATAATTTTCATGTAATATGTACCTGGTATAAGTAATTTAAAAGTAAGATTTAAAGAAAAAAACATAAATGAATTCGAAATGGAAATAATATGAACAAATACCCCAACAATTTATTCTTTCTCTCTATATATTTATCCTTTTTTTCTACTCTATTTATATTCATTTAACTATACTATATCAGTATGTCTCTATATATAATCTTACATTTCTATACTTTCATCCTGTCCTAGCTTTTGCTTGAGACATAATATTATAAATAAAGGAAGATATAAAAAAATTTTTCTAAATGTAAACAAAATCTTGCTCAACAAGTACATTACTATATTATATACATATATGCATATAGTGTATATGTACATATATTTACACACATATCCATAAATGAATAATATATAATTATATTGTTTGTAAATATCATCATATAAAAAAATTTAATTCTTAGACTATAATATTATAATATATGTAATATAATGAATAAAATTTTTATGATTTCCACAAAACTATATTATTTAAATCAGTGTTTATGTATATATATGAATATGTCTGTATTATGATTGTATATACACCATTCGAGATTCAGCAGAAGGAGGTTATTTTTATTTGAAAAAAAACCAAAAAAAAAAAAAACAGTTTAGATGAATCCACATGAGCACATTGTTGTTTTAAAACGAAAAATAAAAAAATAAGGATCCAAAAAAGGAGAATTTTTTGTATCGTTATTTTCTTTTGTCTTCTTGGGCAGTTACTTATTATGTACCATTTAAAGAGAGTTTTATTTACTCGTCGTAAATTTTCGTATATTTATATGAAAGTATATATCCATATGTGTATATACGTACATATATATAAATATACATAGTAATTTTCAAATGAATTCTCAATATAATGAAGGGCGGAGCTGAATAACACAAAAAAAGAAAATATGTATAGCTTAAAACAAGAAGGAAAAAAATAAAATTCATTGTAATTTTCTTAAAATATTTTTTTAAAAGTTTAACATAAATCACTAAATTAAATGTACGAGTATATGTATGTATATATACAATATTTAAGAATATTAATATTTCCCCAAAAAATTCATGAGTGCGACTGTACATTTCTATATCATCTTCCAACTAGTCGGAGGTTCTCCCAACCAAACAACTTATGATTCCCCCGAATTTATGATACTTATTAGGAATACCAGTTAAAATCATTCAAACAATACAACCGATTTAAATGAAATTTGTTTAAAACAAATAAGACAGCAACTTATTTGTGAAAGCTCATTTTTAAAATATTCTACTGCAACAATACAATTATCTTATGTATACTCGTATTATCCCATTTCAAATTTTCAAAAAGGCTCATATAATTTTCACTCTATATTACTACAAAATACATTTGTTGCTGAGTAACAAACACTGAGAAAAATTCAATAAAAATTTCAGAACAAAAACAAAAATATATGTACGTGCAATATAATAACTAAAAAACCAGTTCCATTTATCGAAATTATAAATAGTTGTATATATGTATGTACTCGTACAACTATTTATAGTTATATATTTCATATAACAATATGAAATATATATTATAAAAGAATGGAAGGAACATATATATCTATCTACTTGGATATATAGAACTCTAAAAGGTTTGTGTTGTTTTGTGAGTAAAGAAAAATTCAAAATGCTATGTTTTGAGTGAATTTTAAAGAGATAAAGAAGAGAAAATTGAGATAAATTGAGAATGCAAATTGGCTGTAATTATATGAGTTTAATAAATTAAAAAAGTATCTACAATAAAACATTGCGTCGATCCTTTTCAGTTATATGTATACACTTATAGAATATTGTAAATATCAAATTCAATATTAGAAATACACGCAATATGACTTTAAAGTTTGAAAATAATTCTTTTTATTAAAGTCAACTTTTAAAATATAACTCGAAGAAATCACTTGAAAAAAAATAATAAAGAAAATTACTTAAAAATGAGGATTTTTTGTAAAACGATACGAACATTTGCGTCTAAACAACCACCAACGTTAAGTTTTAACCACCAACTTTCGACTTTTAACTTTTATCACATTACAACCATCCAAATAGCGTGAATTATAATTTAAATTGATATACATACAATATATATATAAAAATTAACTATCCCAAAGTTATCATGTTCAACTACAATCTAATTTACGTTATGCAGTCGCAGTTGTAAGTAAATTTAAAATAAAAATCCTATATTCTCTCTCTTTCTCTTTTACTATAGTATCTCAATTTTCTCTTACATCTCAAAAAAGATTTTGTAACAAATACATGTTATGTGTATGTACATATGTATTTAAGTAATAAACTTTGAAACTTGAAAAAAATGTAAAATAAAATATCTTAATTAGTAATAATTACCAATCATTCCGTATATTCCAGAGTATAAATACGACATTTTCAAATACATATATTTTTTGGTATGTCTGAGTTGTCTTCTAAAAAAAAAAAACAAAATAAGAGTTGAATAAAAATTAAGGCTATAAATAAACACATTGGGATTATGTATGTAAATACATACATGCACATACATACATTTTTTGGTGAATTCTAAGTTTATTATTAATCTACATATGCATGTACATGTGCATTTTTCTTAATTTTAACCTTATAATCTTAATTAAGTACGTTATTTTTTGTAACATTTTTTACAAAAGGATCTTCAGTCAATATATTTGATTTACTGGATTGAAAATTTGGATTTTTATTTTCTACAAATACACATGTTTGTACAATTTTTATTTTTATTACATACAAATACAATGTTTCTTAAAATATAATTGTGTGTATGTACATATGTTTATAGGCCATGGAAATTAAAAATTCTTCAAAACCAGTACGTATAGATGAAAATTAAGTTATTAATAAAATATTTTCCTTTTATACGTCTCATGCGAGTTGCATAGGTACAAATATGTACATATTATATGTATGTTTATATTGCAGAGAAGTTGTTCAATTTGTACTCGTAATTGTTACTGAAATTTAGGTAGTGAACAAAACTATTTTAACCATTTTTTTTTTTGAGATTTCTTAGTTAAGGAGAATTTTTTACTTGTTTTAGTAATATAGAAAGTTAAAGTAAAAAATTTATTATATAAAATTAAGAAAAGAAACAAAAGTATCTTTGAATCACGAGGTAACAAATTGAAAAGAACGAAAATTAAATTGAAAATGAAGCAATCAAATTTTGATAATATGTATGTATTTTTAAATTTTAATCGTTGATTCTATGTGAAGCGCAATGTGTTTAAAACAGTCACTTAATCTTTGTTCGTAAAACCAAACCATTAAATTAGAGTACTTATAAGTTCATAAGATTTGAAATGATTTTTTTAAAAATAAAATTATTACAAATTTTTAATGTTCGAATAATTTATTTTATTTTAATTTTTTTTTTTACATTTTTTTTGGGTATGCGCTTAAAGAACTAAATAGAAGAAAATAAAAATAAAACATTTGATAAAAGTTTATGATAGTTCGCTGTTATTGGTCTCCAATTGTGATCCATTTAATTGAATTTCTTCAATTTCTTGCCACACATTCCATTGGTACATTGAATGTTAATTGCTTGGTAGCTTCTTTAGCACCCAAATCTGGGTTGGCACCTTTACGAATTTGTTGAGCATACATGCGTGCAACAGAATCATTACGGTCACGGCAGTATACTGAATATTGTCTTCTTTCTTTATTACCGGTTTCACAGTGGCTTGGACATGTTGGAATCTTTTTCAATGTGAAACATGTTTGATCTTTAGATTCAACAACTTGCATTTGTTGTCTTAAATTACAGTTTTGATTGTTTTTGTTTTTGTTGTTTTTTCCATGCTTTTTGTTATGTCCCTGTGATTTGCTGTTGTTTTGTTGAGATGAAGATGAAGAGGAATTTTCTGATGATGAGCTATTACCACTTTCAGAAGATGAAGATGAGCTGCTGCTGCTGCTACTGCTGCTACTGCTACTAGATGAGCTTGATGAGCTTGATGATGCAGACAAATCATCCCAATTCCATTTTCCTGTTTTTGAATTTGTTTTGATAGCATTTCCGCTAGAGAATTGCATTTCAGTACAACGAGCTTGTTGAGCTTGGTTATGACGTTCAACTATTTTTGAGTTACATTGATTATCAGTGATGGCCCAAGATGCTGCGAAATGTTTTTCATTTCTTAAAACACAACGTTTTGGTGTCATACGATCATCAACTTGTTCTCCATTAAGATTACCACATAAACCTAAGGTATTATTTCTGTAGCTTGGTTCATCTGCATGTACACGAATAGTTTGTCCGTTATAGTATACTCTCATTTGTTCGCGGATCTTAATTTTAATGTCATTTGATGGTAAAGAAGTTATTTCAACAGCTGGTTGGTCATTTACATCAGCATCGTTATCAAATTGTTGAACTGGTTTTGATTCAGAAAGTTTTTCTTCATTTCCATTTACTTTAAGTTTATATGATGAGCCACCAGATGGTGATAAATGAATAACATGATCTTCACCTTCAGATTGGGCAACAACAATTGTGATTTCTTTTTCATCATTCTTTTCACTTGTTTGACGGACAAGAACTGAAATATCTAATGGTTCTTGATTTCTGTTTTGTTGTTTACGTAACGAATATCTTGCTGGATCATATTGGAACATGGTGTACCAACAGTTTCCAATTTCTTGATTTTCAATTATTGCGTTATCAAATGTTTGAATTTGATCTTGTTCAACTGTACAAACGTGACCGTTTCTAAGAGCGTTTCTTTGATACATACGGTAGAAGTCCATTCCTGGATGAATAGCTAAGAGTGGGCGAAGTTTATTTTCAACTGGAAGATTATTGAATTGTAAACGTTTTTCTGGTGTTTGAAGTGTAATGTTGACTGATTTGATATGAGGAGAAATGGTAATTGTAGCTTCAAATTTATTATGTTTTCCCATTTCGTTGATATTTTCTTCCATTGTATTAATTCCAGCATGTCTCAACATACTTAATGCACGATTTGTGATATTTCTTAACACTGGAGTAGCATTTTCAAATTCAGCTGAAATTTGGATTTTATTCAAAAGATTGGCGTGGTAAGTAGCGTTCATGCAATTTGGCATTTGGTAATATCCTTGTTTCATTTCTGATAAACATTCTTGTCCAACTTGGCTGTTCTTAACTTTATTTTTATGTTCTTTGGTTTGTTCCATTTGGGCTTTAATATTAACTTGACCGGCTTGTTGTCCATTTTGACCGAAAACAATATTAATTTTAGCGCTAGATTGACCATTATGTCTCAAAGCTTCCTCAAAGTTGAGTGCTGGGGTGTTTGGATATCTTCCAGTGTAAGTAATTCCTATTTGTTGTGAATGGGATTGTGAAACTGGTTTAGAGCTCAAGAATATCAAGAGACGTTCTTTTTCATCAACAGAACTGTCAGCTTGTGCGATAGTCATAACGTATTCTGATCGCTTTTCTCCAGTAAAAGCAATTGAAGCATCAATTACTCCAGCTGAAGCATATTTAATACCATAAGCAGCATTTTGTAACATTTCTTGACGACGTTCTTCACTATTTGGTGAAGTGTTTTGAGTGAAAGCAAGTAATTTTTCATCAACAGAAGCAGCATGTTTCATGTGTTGGGTATGTTGGTGATTTTCCTGGTCTACATTGTAAGCTTTATCTAAAGCAAATGAAAATTTGATAGCTTTATTTGCAGAACGTTGGGCATCGTATTTAACATTCATATTAAATTGATCTAATGTAGCGGCAGGCCATTGATTTTGTTTGTAAAGGATTCCAGAGTTTTGAGCGGTCTTTTCAAGTACAGCAGCATTTGACATTGGAGTAGTGGCAAGCCATAACATTCCTTGGAAATTAACAATTTCTTCTGGTGTGAGATCTTGATAATATGGCATCCACAAAGCTGATAAAACAGTTTGTGGTAAATTGCTTCCATAAGCAGCTGGTTCCAATGCATGTGGAATAAATTCAAGTGGGCTCCATGATTGTTCTCTCATTAATCCTTGCATGACTGCTTGGTAGCTGTATGGCATTCTTGTTAAAGCATTCTGACCTTGTTTACGTAACATGCGGCTCATTTGTTCTAAAACATTAGCTGGGAGTTGGTGTTCAAATTTAGCACGCATTACCATACCAGTTGAGTGTTCTCCCAAAGTTCTTTCAGTCAATTTACTAGTACGAGATGTAATAAGTTTAGTATTTTGGGTATCTTCAGCATATGGACGAAGATTTAAAATGTTACGACGAGCAGTGTATGGCCAAGCGCTTGAGTGGAATATTTTGGCGTCTTTGTTATCGTCAATAGGTTGTAATTTACCATTGATACGTGTGTTTTCAAAATCAGCATCTAATTTTAATTGAAGAGGAACGTGGGTTTGTGTTTTTCTTACATATCCTGCAACATATTGTTGGCGTTCAGATGGTGTAATAAAACCAACTGTAGCTCTTTGTTCTGTGCTGTGTACGAGGTGCACTTTAGCAGTGACATTTACTGCTTGCATATCTTTGATAGATTGCCATGATGGATTGTGTTCTAAATTAGGTGTGGTTGATACTTGAACTTCTCCTAAAGCTTGTAATAATGTTGGAATTCTGAAAGTGTATACGAATGGATAACCAGTTGCTAATGGGAAAGCTATAGCAACTTCACGACGATTGTATAATCTGTTCATTCTCAATTGTTGTCCATTACGAAGACCAGCAAATATTTCAGATAAGGTTTGTGGTAATTCTTTAAGAGATTTTTTGTCAAAGGTGACAAAACGTTTGTTTCCCATTAAGTTCATTAAAATTTGACCTTCAAATTCACGAGCGTCTTCTTCATGGATGTTTAATTGTTTAGCTATACGTTCAGTTGACCATTTTGAATTTGTGTTGCTGCTTTGTTTTCTATTTGATTGGTTACCATTTTGTGGGTTTGGCCATAAATCTAAAACTTGTTCTACACTAGACAACATTACTTGAACTTCAGCTGATTTTGTATTGAAACCACCGTAATTTTTGTAAGCATCATACCAAATACCTCTTGGTAAAATATGTTCTTCACCAACAATATGGGTAAGTTGATATTTGTATATCATTTCTACGTTTTTGGCTACGTAATCTCTTAATTGAGTTTTAGAATATTGAATTCCATATTGACGTGGGTTGAGGAATTTGGCGGCAGATGCAGCATTTGCTGCAAGATCTGAGTTGTCATTATTTTCAAGATTTGCTGCGGATAATATAGCTGATTGAACGGTGGCTTGTACTGCTTCGCTTGGATCTTCGTTAGTGAATTCTGCCATGCGTTGAAGCATTGCAGCTGGTGGGCCTGTACGCATGAGTAATGCTACGGCAGCTGAACGAGTTTCTGGTTCTTCATTGACATTTGAGTAAACTTTGAAAAGGATATCTCTGATTTGTCTTGGATGAATTTCAGCAATTTTATCTAAAGCAAGAATCATAGCAGTACGTTGGAAAGCACTTAAGGTGTTGTCATTGTCAAAGTATTTTTCGAAAACAGAAACAACATGTGGATGAGCAATATTTCCAAGAGCTCTCATGTTCAATAAAATATTTTTGTTGTTATTAGATTGAACAGCTTGTTGTAAATTTTGAGCAAAATAAGGAACGATTTCAGTTTTCACTGTTTTTTCAAGTTGAGTTCTGAATGAAGAAAAAGCTTGAACTGGGTAATAATTTCTTGCAGAGTCATCGTCGGTAAATGCACGTCTAATGAGATCAGTAAGAGCAATGACGGCAGTTGAGTGTACATTTCTTTGATTTTGAACTTGCTGATCTTTGACAAGTTTATTGAAGAAACGTAGAACAATTTCGTGTGTTGGTGTACGAATTGATTTTGCAAGAGTGTTCACTAAAGCTGCAGCTTGTTCACCCTTGAGTTTTCCTTCTGAAATCCATGTGGTAATGATTGAAACTGATGGGCCGGTTCCAGCTTGAGCAACTGCGTCCTTGAAGGTTCTTCTAGCAAATACTTCTTGGGTAGATCCTTGTTGATTGTTTCCAATATTCAATTGTTGAGCTACATTTTGGATTTGTTGTTGATTCATAATTCTAATTAAATCAGTTAAGATATTGAATTTCTCCAAAGTATTTTGTTTAGGGATTTCATTTTGATTTTGGAGATCTTGAGCGATTTCAGACGACAATTTCTTTACTGTAGTTTCAACGTTGATTTGACTTGAGTATTGAATGCTTTTGCCGCGGTTTCCAATAGCGTATGGGTGGAATGGAAATTCCGGTGCTTCAGTTAAACTTGGTTGAGGCTGACGGTGTCTTGACTGGCCATTTTCATTATTTTCTTCTGAAGATGAAGAACTGGAAGATGATGAACTTGAGGAAGATGAAGATGATGATTGACCGTGTTTGTCTCTATTTTGTTTGTTTTGCCAATTGCCCTCATTAATACTTCTTGGAGAACGATGACCATTATTTTCAGAGCTCGAACGATGTATGGTGTTTTTTTGGTGATGTTTGTTTTGTTGATTTTCGTTAGATTCACTGGAGCTGGAGCTTGAGCTTGAGCTTGAGCTAGAGCTAGAGCTAGAATCACTTGAGCTTGAGCTGGAACTGCTGGAATCACCATGTTGTCTTGGTTTATAGTTATGTTGTCCTTCACGTATTTGATTGTCTTTGTCGGATGGAATATTGTATCTGTAGACAAGATTTCCAGCATTTACTCCATTATGTGGTGTTTCTAATTGATTTGTAATTTCTTTAACTTTGTTCAAAGTTAATTGAATTTGGCCAATAACTTGAGCTTGTTGGTTTTGGTACATTGATGGACGAACAGCTACACGGTTGGTAGTGGTTGATTGTTGAATAGTATATTGATTGACATTACCACTAGCGATGATTCTTGTTGTTGATGCTTTCTATATATATAAAAAAGTATAAGAAAGTAATTCTTGGGATATCGACTTTTACAATTGACTGTAACTTAACAACGCTTAAATATAAAACTTACGGATAGGAAGTCTCCCATTTGATTAGTTCCTGGTTTTAAATCTGAAGCTCCTGTAATTCCAAAATGATATCCTTTACGTTGTTCGCAACGGCTATAATTTAAGGTTTTAACAATTTGGAAAAATTCTCCTTCTGCATTCAAATGAACTTTTGGAGCCCATTGTGCTTCAGTTTGCTCAACAATAGCTTCTTGTAGTGGTGAAATATCGTAAATTGTTTCACATTCTCCAGTAACTGTTGGTTCCATCGTTTTGTAAAGAGCAGTTGGATTATGTTTATCTTGAGGTAATTGATTGTGACGTGATTTTATTAAATTGGTGCCCTGTGTATCAACTTGAAGTTGAGCTAAGATGGCTTTCAATTGATTAACTTGATCATTTGTCATTGATTTATCAACAATAAGTGATTCAACAACACCACCATTCAATTTCAATGTGAAAGTGAAATCTTTCATATCAGTCTCTTCAAATTGCAAGACATCTTCTGGAATTTGAGAATTGAAGTCCTCCAAATCATCATGGAAATGAGCGATTTGAGTATTCAATAATTTTCCATTAATTTGATTATCACTTTGGGCTTGCAATACAAGTTTTCCTTTATTCACCACGCCAACATACTGATTTCTTAAGTCTGGTAAAGCAGTTAATGTTCTACCATAGAAATTGTATGTATATTCCTTGTTATGTTGAAATTGTGGTTGATTTACAGTAGTGGCGGCAACGAAACCGACTAAAAATTTTTTTTTTATTTAATCACAATCCTTTTGGACTTATACTTATTTAACAGAAAACTACATTTAACGAATATTTTTTGTGCTTGACGATTTTTTAAGACTTACCAAACATCAATAAAGCAAAACGGGTCTTCATATTGTCCGTGTATCTCAGTTGATCTCAGAAAACGAACTATGATTGAGTTTGAATTGAATGGAGATTTTATAGCAAAACTTTTTTAAGAAAGAATGCTTACTATAGCATTTTCTCTAATATTATCAGTAAAATAAAATAAAAGTGCTACTTAATACATATTTGATAATTCCTAAGTATTTCAAAAAAAATATTTTGATTCATAAATTCATTCATTTCTTTAAAACTTTGTTGCATATCATAAATTATCAGCTGATAATTTGAATTTTAAGCTGTAGTAACTATGTAAAATTGTAGAACGGTAATTGTGGAAATGTACTGTCTTTAACATTACTCTTATAATTTTAAAAACGACAATGTTATTCACGTTTTTGTAGATATGTAAGATTATAAATTAAACTCAAATCTGGTACAAATAAATAAAATATTAATTGATTTTGAAATTTGCCGGCTTTTTTAATACGAACATTTTACATTTTTTTGTGTGCAATGAGCAATTCACTAAATTTAAAATTTTCATACATAATTATTTTTGACTTTTGAAGAAAAAATTTCAAGGTAGCTATATCTTAGGAAAAGGCAAAAATTTAATAAATATATTTAACTTGTACTAAAGATCTTCAATGACAGCTTAGATTTACTTATAATGTCTCATATATCTTAGGATAATTTTTCTTGAAATTCGGTTTACCTTAAGCAAAGTAAAATTAATATATTAAAAATATTATCGACGTCATTGAATGCAATAAAGAAACTTTCCAACAGAAAGGGATTGGTCTCCAGTGTTGAAGAAGCGCAAATAAACCATTTTAAGCAAAATGTTTGCCTGTCAATCATCATGAGTTTTAATTTCTATTGAGTTGATATTCATTAAAATTCATATCTGAGTCTAGTTTCTTTAGTGTGATGAATTGTTCAAATCTTTGACGTAGATCCCCATGCGACATGTTGGACCACATTTAACAAAATACTAAATAAAATCATACTATAATTTAATATATATCATTTCTGTTTACTGAGTAATTAAACATTGATCGATTTCTTTTTTTCAGAGATCTTAGCCTTACATACAATTTTTAGCTTGTTTGATTTAGGAAATCAAACACATACCGTAATTTAAACACGCCTAACTAATACCATAAATCTTTTCCCATATATTTTTGAAATAGAAATTTCTAATAATTTATATTTGCATATACAAAGATGCAAAGAGTTGTAGAACTTTGAATTTTTTTCAATGTTTTTAAAATTATCTGATAATCTGATAATGACGCATTATCAAAAATTAATATTTTAATTTGTTCAAAAATACTTCAATTTTCACTTTTTGTGTGAGAAAAATACCGGAAATAAAATAAAGAAGAATATATAGAACTAGTCGTATGTGCTTGCATTGCAAGCCTTGCAAATATTATGTCTGTAGTTTTGAAATTGTGTTCCATTCCGTGTCTGAGATATTTTAAATTTACTTTCTTTCTTCAAAAACACACCCGTAATATACATATAGATATGTTTTTTTCCTAGTATTTTTTAAGATAAAACTTAAAATAAGAAATGCTTAAAAATATTTAATTAAACAAAAAATTAGTTCTTTTGAGATCTAATATCTTTTTAGTAATTTATTTTGACAATAAGCAATTTAAGCGATAAATTATCGTATACGCATAAAATAATTCGCTACTAAAATCCATGCACATATTTTTTTGGATTTTATAATACATGCGAATAAAACGCGTGAATGTATAATGAGTTAACACTAACGCTAACGTATATAGGGTAATGCGTATAGCATACGATTTCTATGCAAAAAGTCCCTGGTTCGAACCCTGAAAAATGCGATTTGTCAGACGAACTTTTTTTTTTTATTGATAATTTTATTTTTTTTAAATGAAATTAAAAAAGGTTTACCCTTACAAATCAATATCAGCGAGTTTCCGTTCTAAATATTTTTTTGAGAATCCCTTTTTGTAAAAAATTTAATGCAATAGAGTAACATTTTCTTATACAATTTAGTCTTAAAAATATATCGTCAAGAAATTTAATGTACACTTATGTTTTGCTTATTAATACATTTTGCAGCAGATCGCGAAAAAAATACTTAATTAAATGCGTACGTACATACTTATTATAAAACAATGTAGATTTAATTAAATCTTTACAATTTTCTTAAGAAAGTCTTCACTTTTTGTTATAACTCACACTTCCAAATATGAATTTACATACAATATTTATATCTTCAAAAGTAAATAAAAATTATCCCTACAGGATATAATAACATTTTGTAAGAAACGGTCATAAAGCATCTTGGGAGGGGTTGAAAGGGGAGGACGGGTGAAATTCTTGACCCTAGAGGCAAAACCCTATCTAATGCCTCTTGTCGCATGTCTGTAGCCCTGCTAGAAGTACCCGTACTTTTTGACACCTGAGAAGTAGCCATATATATATAATAATATTATTGAATTATTTTTTGATTTTAAAATTCAAATTGTTTAAAATTACTTTTCAAAATTATTATTGTTATTTTGCATAATAATCACACTATATAGGAATAATAAATTAAAATTTATTACAAATTAATAGAATCAAAAATTACTTGTTTACACTTATAATTATTATTCAATATTTTCAAAGATGACCTATGAGTTGACATTTCCATCCATAACAATGATTATTCTTATTATTATTAAATTAAATATTTATTACAATACAAAGTTGTACTACAATTTTAAATGATGATTTGTTAAACTGTAAAAAACAGGGAAGTATCACGGGACATGGCTTAAAAATTACTGTAACGCAGTACAACTGACTTATCATTATAATAAACATAATGTATGTAATGTATATATACATTAATTTTTACAATAGTGTATTAATATTATATTTAGATTTAGATAAATTATTTGTTATGAAAACTGAAATTCAGCAAACCGTATGAAGCATAATACATCATTATGAATTAAACATAGAATTTGTTTAAAAAGTACACCATTATGGCTTAAATTAGGCTTTTAGGTTGTAATTGCAGAATTGTATAACAATACAATTACATTACATTCTATATTAATACATTAGTTTCAAAATTTTTCGAAAAGTTTTTTTTTTAATAAAATCAATCTCTTTCCTTTTTTGCCGTACCTGTCATGTAAGGGTTCATTTTACTTTATTCGTATTTTTCATGACACGAGTATAAAACAAAAAAAAAATTTCCTTGATAAGAATGAGGATGCAAATATGAGGTTAATAAACTCAAAAATAACACATGGAAGTGAAAATAATATTTGAACTATTAATAAATGTAAAAGTTAACGCTTTTAAAAAATGATATCAAAATTTAGTTTTTTCAACTTTTTTATAAATTATATTGTCTTTTATAGGTAATTTTCAATTAAATCCATTATAATTATATTAACTAGAAGCCCCCGGTATAAATCGCACTAAGTTTTAAATATGTTCGAAAATATTGATATCAAATTAAGGCATGAATGTATATATCACCCTAGATAAATAATTAATTTAATGTAGGAAGGAAAATTTTAAATTAAATCAGGTTGCCTTAACTCGCAAAATTTATATTCATACAAAACATAAAATTCTTGCAGCTCTGTAGGCTTTATCGTTTTGCTTTAGTACCTGTGTAATGTTCATTAATAGTTTGTTAATATGAAGCTGGAAAAAATACTATCATATGAAATCAACCTACTACTACTACTGTAAAAATTTACTAATATCTCTTTATATCATACCTTGGAAGATGTACATCCAAAAACAAAAGTAAAATAGAGAGTATAACACATGTAATTAAAACATGTTGTTTAATTGTCTTATTACGACATGTGAATGTCCAATTCATGTAAAAACTAAGTTTGCGTTCTGTGATTCTGTGGACCAAATGGATGGTATTAAATTCGTATAGCACAGCGTTACAAATTTCCTTTTTATACATACTAAACTAAAAATATTTAGTATATTTGTATGAAATGTATGAACCGAGCATTTCCCGCATGTTTTTAAATATATTTTAGCTCTCATTGTATCACAAAGCAAAAGAAAGAAAATAACATAAATTTTCAAGAAATTTCGAATTTTCAAAAAAAAAATCCCCAAAAAAAAAAAAATTTTGACTTTGACCAGTTTTATCTCGAAAACTATGGCTTAAATAAAATTGTTTGTAAAAGCAATAAAGTTGGGTCAAACCAGTGATTTGTAATGTAGCACTTTTCCCTTCAACGAGTGAAAATACTGTTTTTAAAAACAATCTAGCGATGTACTACATTATTAAAGTTACTTTCATTCCTATACGAATATATTTAAAAATTGCATACATTTAGGATGATTGATTTATGCATTCTTTAATTTTAATGAACATAATACTCGATTTTAATGGTTAATTGAGTTAAGCAAAATAGTTATATTTTTTAATGGCATGGAGTTTACCGTTGCGGTATCGGAAGTATAAGGCGCCAAATATTCAAATTTTCACAATTTCAAGAGGCGATAACTTCAGAAGGAGTTGAAATGGAAAAAAATTTTCTTCCAACGAAATAAAATAGTAAGTGTACATATAAAATCTATGTACATATAAAATTTCAGCTTTCTATCTACAAATATGTAGAAGTTTTGTAAACATATCCACGGACGGACAGAGTAAATCTAATAAGCACTTTTTCCAAAAAATTTTTGGAAAAGTGCTTAAAAATAGAGAGCTCAATTAATTTATTTTTAATTAAATGTTATTAATTAAAATTTACATAATAATTAAATTTGGCTAAAATTTGTGCATTATATATAAGATCTTATATGAATAATAGATTAAAAGTATAAAAATATGCCTTAAATAACATTGCAATTGCTCTAAAGTTCAAATTTCCAAAAAAATATATATCTGCTGATTCGATTTTCATAAGTAAACAAAAGATTATGTGAAATTTTTAAATCCAGTTGATAATTATATCATTATATTTGATATTCCAGTTGATAATTATATTTGATATATGACACATTTTAAGTAACTTCAATCA